GAGCTTGACCTCTAATAGGACATGATCACGGAGCCGGCCCTACCGTTGGGAAGAACGGGACAGCTGCCTTAGAGGCAGTAGATTCTGGGCTGGAAGAGAAGATCTAGGGGTGTCATGAAAAGAAAAAGCAACCCATCGTTAGATATTTACTTTATTATTATGACTGGGTTATTATTATTTTTTTATGGGGATAGCTGAAGGATTTTCTGCCTCCTGTGGCGAAATAACATGCTGACCTGGGAACTGCACATTAAAATGAGCAGAAAATAAGACGTAACATGCTTTCCTACCTCCCATAGTATAATCTTTTAGGTCATGGTTCCCAACCTTTTTTCCAGTTCTTACGCCCTTTGATAATAGCCAAGTAATTTGTGAATTCTCCCTCCACCCCCCCCGGCACGTTTGCATAAAAATGCATTTTTAATGGGGTAAAGTCATTCCTCCTCAGAAAGAAGAGGCTTCTTTCTCACACACCCCCCAGAAGGGCCTGTTCCTTATACATAAATTTTAATATCTGGCTCTGAAAGGTGAAAGAGCAAATTATTTAACAAAGGCTACAGCATATATAAGGCAACCCTTGAACTCCCCCCCCCCAAAAAAACTTCGTGACCCCCTTGAGAGTCACGAATCCCAGGGGTCAAAGACCAACTAAGGAAAACTCAAAGAAAGCTGCTTCGTGTAGGAAGAAATTTGTGGGTTTCCTACACACAGATCACTTTTGGGAAGGCCATTCTCAGAGGGAGGGGAGGATATTATTGTGGCCTTCTGGATCCTTGATACAACCACTCCCCTGATCCCTTTACATTTGGTCATCATGTCAGCCGGGACTTCTGGGACCCGAGTTCAAAACATCTCAAGGACCTCAAGTTCTTCATCCGTTATCTTAGGGGGCTGTTGCCAGATAGTGGTAGAGTGGAAGAAAATTGTCCACATGAACATGTATTTCCCCCCCCCTCCGCAAACTCAGGAATAGCAAACTGGGGCCCTTCATCTCCTGTTGGACTACAGGTCCCATCAGCACTAGTCAGTGTAGCCTGTGGCGTGGAGTTGTAGTCCAAGAACATCTGTAGGGCTGTGCTTTATTCCCTGAGGGGGCAAACTAGGCGTGTTGTTGCCATCAGCACTAGTCAGTGTAGCCTGTGGCATGGAGTTGTAGTCCAAGAACATCCGTAGGGCCGTGCTTTATTCCCTGAGGGGGAAAACTAGGCGTGTTGTTAATAGTCATGGCATTTGCTATTTTTGCCTATTTTCCAGTTGCTTCCGACCTCCAAAATGTCCTCTCGTTAACAGGCCTGCTGAGGTTTTGCAAACTCAAAGGCTGTGGCTTCCTTTATGGACTCTGACCATCTCAGATGACATTTAGCCTTGCATCAATTAAATCCTTGCGGGCGGGCGGGCAGACTGGACTAGGACGGTGATGCGGAGACAAATAAGTGGTGAGGCACCTCCTCACAGACAAGGCCGGAGCAGGGAACCAGCCCGCTTCTCCCCTAAAGACACAACCACACATTCACACACACACAGTCATAGGCAGGGCCAAAGGGGCACATGACTCTTCTGGAAAATCAAAAAGGAGGAGAGCAGTTCTTAAGAAAATCAGCCCTTTTTTGCCCCTACCCTGTGTCCTTCTTGAAGGCAAGCGGATTTATGGTAGGGCTGTGGCAACCTCGGTAAAGAGGCATCACCAGCTCAATCTGGCTTGAGAACCCAGAATCCCACGGCCCTCCTTCTTTTCTCCTACCAGATGTTCAACGTCCTCACAACTCTTTTGATTTGGGATTCAGCAGTTCCAGACAATAATGCTCCATTGCCTCCATACCAATCTCCAACTTTTTTTTTCCAGCCAAGAAATGATCCTCTTTCCTGCATCCCTTGCCTCCCTTTCTTTTTCGAATGATCAGTTGTAATAACCTGTTTTGGTTTGTTTCTCAGTTAGGTGACCGAAGGAGTCTAGCTTTCTGCCTTTTATGATTTCTTGGTCTTTATTGATCCTTAGTGCTTTGGCCTTCTTCATTGGTCGCCTTCTTGAGCAAGAGAAATTATCAGTGTCTTGCATTAAAAACACATTTGAATGCTTCTTCCTCCCACTTCCGACTTATGATGACCCTATGAACTAGTGATCTTCGAAATGGCTTGTCCTCTACTGCCCTGCGCAGCATTTCTAAGCTCAAGCTTGTGGTTCCCTTAGGGACTCAGTCCATCTCATATTTGGTCTTCCTCTTTTCCTGCTGCCTTCCACCTTACTGTTGTTTTCTTTCCAGATAATCCTGTCTTCTCAGGATGTGTCCCAAGTAGGATGGCCTCAGCGTCAACACTTTTGGCTTCAGAAATAGTTCAGGATTGGTTGGATCTAGGTTTAGTGTCATTTATTATTTGTGTTTTAATTTACTGTCGATCGTACTTTTATACTGGTTTTAGCTGCCGTAAACCTCCCAGAATAGTGCTCTTGCACTAAAGGGGTGGTATATAAATTAAAATCATAAATAAAAATAAAATATATAGAACCACGTGTTCATCTTTCTGGCATTCCAGGATATCCGCAAAGCTAGTCTGTGTTCAAAGTGCACAATTTTATGCCACGCAGTAGAACTCAGAGTACACAGTACTGTAGAAGACATATTTGAAAAGCTAATTTTAATTTCCCCACCCCCACATTACAATATTTGTTTAAAGAAGTTGCTTGGGGCCATCTCTGTTCTGACTTCTGTTGCATGGTTAGGATCCCACTGTTCATTTCACTAAATCCCAAGGAAGCTGCTATAAGCTCATCCTCTTAAGTTTGGCGACTTAGAAGAATAAAGCAACCCAATGCCTCAGGCAAGAGGGAGGCTGGCAGCAGGCTTTGTGGGGGGAAAGGATAGGTCTGACTGGCAGGAAAGTTTGGGAGTCATGACCAGGCAGCAAATGGTGAATTATTTCCTTTGTTATGTTCATTACCAGAGTGGAAGAGAGAAAGCATCTTGTAAGATTTTCCGCCTTAGGCAGTCTTACAGCTCAGCTGGCTTGAACTATTACTGTATACACTTCAAATTGAATGCATTTCTAGTCCCCCTTGAGCTTGGCATTGTTAAGTAAACTGGCTAATGTTAGCATGACTGATTACTCTGGTGTAGCAGTTCCCAAATGTTTCATGCCCGCTTCTTTATTTTTTGAGAAATTCTTGTGCCTCCCTAATCTCTTTTGCCATCACCCATTAAATTCACAATTGAAAATAAACAAATTCTTCATACAAATTAGTCTAATTTTTTTTAAAAAAAATAAGCACAAACATTTTCACGAAGGCTTTCATGGCCGGGATCTAATGGTTGTTGTGGGTTTTTCAGGCTCTTTGGCCGTGTTCTGAGCCCGAAAGAGCTCGAAAAAAGAGCCCGAAAAAACCCACAACAACCAAGCGCAAACATTTCTTCTTGATTTAGAAGGGGTTGTTGCCTTAGTCTGTACAAACATGATAGGTAAAAACAAAATAAAGAGTTTTTTAAAAGAGAAAAAAAATGTGGTAGTACCTTTAAGGCTAACTTTTATATTTTTTTAATGTGAGCTTTTGTGGACTTCTTGAGAAATGGTAAATTCTCCCAGGGATATCTATCATAGTAATGTGTTTAAACTGATAATAATATATATATTTTTTATGGTAATGAAGATCTCAGTCTCATTTCCCCCTTGGAAATTCATCTCTCTGCTTCCCACGCTCACTCCTTTAGAAACCAATGCTTTAGCACTTTCACTATGTATTTTAATTGAGGTTTGCGATAATGTATTAGTGGCCTGTTACTGTATTTTTAAATTGATTACAGTTAATTGCTAGTATCCTCTTCTATATTTACATGCACACACAGGCCTCCAGCTATTTAAGCAGCCACAGGGATCTGAAAAGGTGCTAGTTGTGAGCCCGGTCATATGCAAACAATACCTTGTCGGATCACCATAGCAGCTCCAGCAACTGGAACTCTGAATGGGCCTAAATAATTGAATAGGATTTGTTGCTGTTATGCGCTGTCAAGCCTCCTCTGACGTATGCCGACCCTATGAATGAGTGACCTCAAAAACGTCCTGTCGCGAACTGTTCTGCTCAGCTCTTGTAAACCCAAGTCTGTGGCTCTGTTTGGGAGTCAACCCATCTTGTATTTGGTCTTCCTCTTTTCCTGCTGCCATCCACTTTTTTTTCCAGTATGATTGTGTTTTCCAGAGAATCTTGCCTTTTTCTGATGGACAGCTTCAACATTTTCGCCTCCATTTGCTTCATTTGATCTAGGACCCACTTCTTCATCTTGCTGGATGCCAGCCCATATTGCAAAAATGCTCAAAGTTAAAAGATACTGTAGTTAAAAATGGGTACACATATCTCATAACCCTTTAAAAGCAATGGCCAAAATCCTGTTGTTTAGTGTAGTAAACCACACTAGAGCAGACCCACTGAATCAGTGGGGATTTGGTGAGCCAATTCCTCCACAAAGTCCATTAATTCAAATGAAAGCGAGTCACCAAATGTATGGGCATACTCTTAGAGTGGTGGCAGGACCAGATAGGCGGGATATTAAATAGAATGAATGAATGAATGAATAATGTGAGAAACTACACGAAGCAACAAGATTCTGGCCAAAGTTTGGGAATTAGCAAATACTAAACCTAAATATATCTAGTACAGATAACTTGTCTATCCATGGAGGATCTTCACTCCCAGGCAAGGGAGCTGCAATCCATGAAACGAACATATAGGCATAATAAAACACAGAGCCGGGGCTTTGCTACTGTTTCTGGACTACAATTCCCACAATCCCCAGCCAGATTCAAGGAGTGGAAATCCAAAACGGGGAACGTCCCTGAGCACGGATAAAACGTTAGCCTCTTCATGTGCCATATAGTCATTGCCTAACGAAGCCCGTTAACATTAGGAACGGGGAAACCTAACGGAATGGGCTCCCTCCTCGTTCCTCCCGGCATCACGGCAACGTTACTCGCGACCCGTTACTTCCCAGCTTTGTTCAAAAGTTGTTCCCGAAATGTTGTTTTCGAAACAGTGGCGTCGCGGGAATCCCGGGGGCGAACGAGCTTCTCTTGAAGTCCCTAGAACGACCCCTTCCAGCCATCATCACGCAACAACAACGACGACGACGACGACGGGCCTGTCCCTTTAAGACCCTTTCGGGCCCGCAGCCCAGGCGAGCCGGCCCGGGCCTCGCCCTGTGAGCCGCCCGAAGCTTCTTCCCCGCTGCTGGTTTGTTTTCCTGCCGCCGCAAAAATGAGTTTTTAATTCGTGGTTCCTCGCCCAGCCCGCGACTTTTTTCCGAGTTGCGCCAGAGATTCCCGAGAGAAGCCCCTTGGTCTCCCCTGGAGGAAATTTGGAAATCGTCGTTTTCCTGGAAGGTGGGGAAGGAAAAAAAAGAGAGAATGATCGGAGGGAGGAAAGTGTTGTTGTCCTGTATGGCCGGGTTCCTTCCAACTTAGGGCGACTTTGTAATCAGTGACTTGCAAAAAGTCTTTTTTTTTTTAATCTGAGCAGCCCTGCTTGGGTCTGGCCCACTCAAGACTGCCTGATGAAGTGGACTGGTCCACGAAAGCTCGCATTAAAAATATATTTAAAAGTCAGTCTTTCAGGTGCCACCACTTTTTTGTGTTTCTTAAAACTTTTGATTTTTTTTTTTAATTTTGTTTCCCCCTCCAATGCTTGCACAGATTAACAGGGCCAGCCCTTCTGCAACTCAAGATCGGGGCTTCCTTGACTGACTCACGTTTATGCTTCCTCTTGTCCTACTACTGCCTCATGCATTCCTTAACAGTATTTCCTTAAGAGTATTGTCATTTCCAGCGTGTCCTGTCTTCCCATGGTTTCCCCAAAGTACAGTAGCTTAAGTTATGTTAACTTCCTAGAAAGAATTCAGGCTTGATTTGCTCAGTTGTTCGTAGTTCCCTCAGTCAGAACCAACTTATAATGGCCCTAAGACGGCTCTTGGGATAAGTGAGATATTTAAGGAGTGGTTTTACCAGTCCCAGCCAGTTTCCGTGGTGCATTGGAGACTCGAACCCAGGACTCCTGAACCACCACCATTGGGTATTTGATCTAGCAGCACTTTCAGTACAGTATTCGTCTTTCTGGCAGTCTGTGATATTTGTAAATATCTTTCCTCCAAAACCACATTACACATGGACTGGTTTTACCCCACAGCTTTGTTCATGGACCAGCTTTCAAATCCACACACAGTCATTTGTAATACTATAGAGTGGATGATGTTGTCCTTGGTCAGTTGTTGCTTTACAGGTGACAGTAAAGTCTTGAGTGTGTCCCTCGGTGGTTCCCAGCCTTGGGTAACCCAGGTGTTCTTGGACTGCAATTCCCAGAAGCCCTGCACCATCAGCAAGGTTTTCTGGGTGTGAAACCTGAAAAACTGGGACTGTTCTAAAAACACTGGGTGCATCAGAGTGTTTAGTTTAGGCCATACTATGGACAAGAGATTAGTGCTGGAACAGATTGTGGAGAAACAGAACGGTTTCCCATTGGCAAGCATATGTGACGAGGGTATCTTTTATTTACCAGCCTGTTCAATCTATGTGCAGAATATATCGAATGAGAGGCTGGATTAGATTTAGAGAACAGAGAAGTGAAAATTGGTAGAAGAAACATTGATAATATAAGATATGCAGAACACACCACATTACAGGGAGAAAACAACAATGACTTTTGAGCATGGCTAAAGAAGAAAATGGAAAAGCAGGATTTTAGTTGAACATTAAGAAGACCAAAAAAAGTTATGACTACAGAAGCATGTTTACCCTGCCTTTTTCCTAAAAAAGACCAATGGAGCGGCTTATAGTATTTATGGAAATAGAAAAAGATCCTTAAGTGTGAGGATGTGTTACTGGAGACCAAGACCATTCATACTGATACTCTCAATTATGATAACAGTATGCAGATTTAAAAACAGTGAAGTCGGCTGGCAAGAAAAAAAATCATTCATTTAAATGTATTATCCGGGGACAGCTTTATAGATACCATGGACTGTCAGAAAATTAATGGTTTCTAAATCAAATGAAGCCTGAATTCTCACATGAGAATATAGGATTTACTGTAAAGGACAGTAATACTACTGTAGGAAAAGCTGAAGGGAGCGAGAAAAGAGGAAAATGGATGACATGAGATGGATTAACTCAGTAAATAAACCATGGTCTTTAGTTTTGTCAGACCTGAGCTGGACTGTTAGTGATAGGGCCTTCTGGAGGTCACTTATAAGGTTATGATGATCTCAAAGCAACTCAACAATAGCATGGTTATTCAGCATTTTGCCTGATAAAGAGCAGAAAACTAGCATAATTGTTTTTTTAGAACTCTGAGGGTTTGGTCCAATATGTGTCTTATGCTGGCAATGAATTTAGCATCTCTACCCATAATTTTCATTCAGAATTTGGGAGGATTACCTTTTTTTTTGGGATTGCAAAACCGAGAATCTCCCATCCAGCTTGGCAAATGGGAGCTGTAATTCACATTTGTAGGTTTATATAATAATATAATATATATAATCTTAGATCGGCAGAGCTGGAAGGGCACGGAGGGGGAATCAGAATTTAGCATCTCTACCCATAATTTTCATCCAGAATTTGGGAAGATTACTTTTTTTTGATTGCGAAACCGAGAACCTCCCATCCAGCTTGACAACTGGGAGCTGTAATTCCCATTTGTAGGTTTATATAATAATATAATGCTGTATAATCTTAGATTGGCAGAGCTGGAAGGGCACCGTGGGATGAATCGAACTCCCAACCAGATGCAGTACCTAAACCACTGAGCTATAGCCAACAATTTTCATGATGTGTCATGTCTCTTGTCTATCTTACTGTTGTTTCCTTATTTACACTTTTCTTCTTTCCTTTTGAGACACCGAAACTCTCACCAGTTTACTTGTAGGTAAACTCTACTGAATGCAGAGCAATATATATTCCTGGATGAATGTAGAGACAAGTTGTCGCCTTAAAGTTGTTCTCCTCTAACTCTTATAAAATATTGAACTTACTATGTTTTTAGTTCTGTACTTTTCAATATTGTGAGCCGCTTTGGTTCCCCTTATCGGGAGGAATATATATTGTGAGCCGCTTTGGGTCCCCTTATCGGGAGGAAGGTGGCCTATGAATATAACAACAACAAAACCCACCGTTCCCCTCTTAACCTTCCTTCCCCTTTCCTCTCTCCATTTGGCCTTTCTTTATCACATGCTTGTCTTCATTATCTTCTTTTGTGGCTTACATTTGCGTTGTGTTCCTCCCACGCAGAACTGTGGTCGCTAGCAATTTGGGTGCCTGGGGCTTTACTGGCAAGCCGACACAGGGGAGATGGAGGAGGAAGGAAAAATAATTCCTGGGGATGTGAAGTGTGCGGCAGCCATGTTGGTTCCACACTGAGCCCCACCAGTCTGGTGTTTCTTTCCGGTCCACAGAGAAGCGACTAGAAGCAATGTAGGCATTTGGTGGGGATGCAGGTGGGATTCATGCCCTTCTAGTAGGAGGTTTTTGTGCCCTCTCCAGATTTCATCGCCCTGGATCAGTGCCCCAGTTGCCACACCCTAGTTATGGGATGTGGTGGTGCTGCAGGTTAAATGGGGGAATTTCGCTTAGCGATGATCGGTTCCCTGCTTCGGGAACCGATTTTCGCTTTATGACGATCAAAAACAGCTGATTGTCGGGTTTTCAAAATGGCCGCTGGGTGCTTAAAATGACTCCTTGCTGTGTTTAGGGACGGATTCCTCGCTATAGCCTCTGTGCTGCAAGGTCTGATGATCAAGCAGTCGTAAGATCGAATCCATGCGACGGCGTGAGCTCCCGTCGCTTGTCCCAGCTCCTGCCTGCCTAGCAGTTTGAAAGCATGCAAATGCGAGTAGATAAATAGGGACCACCTTGGTGGGAAGGTAACAGCGTTCCGTGTCTAGTCATGCTGGCCACGTGACCACGGAAACTGTCTTCGGACAAAACGCTCGCTCTATGACTTGGAAACTGGGATGAGCACCGCCCCCTAGAGTCGGACACGACTGGACTAAATGTCAAGGGGAACCTTTACCTTTAGTTATGGCCCAGCTCCCAGGACTTGATCCTGTGTGTTTTTCAACCTAAAGCTGGGCTTCTGTGCCATCCCGAGCACGCTCATCTTGTCCAGTTTCAGAAGCTAAGCGGGCTGTTACAGTATTTAGAGGGGTGATCTGACTTTTTAAAAAATCCCAAAATTCCAGCTAAAGGTGGGAAAGCCAGTCAGAGGCCACCATGCTAGGCTACACAGGCCTGATGGTCCTCCTTAAGTCCTGCTCAGCTCTCAAACAGGGCCGGCTCCACCATAAGGCAGAGTGAGGCAACTACAAACAGCCAACAAATAAAGCATGGGAGCACCTCTCTTCTGATAACCTGGCGATCTTTCATTCCTTGGCACCCTTGCGTTCCCTCTTCTTCCCTTGACTGTCTGGGTTCAGATTGTAAACTCTTTTCAATGAGAATTAGTGTGGTTTTCAAAGAAAAAAAGAAAGCAAATCATATTTTTTTGCTGAAGTTAAAATGCATGTACGTGGATAGCAGTTTATGATTAATTAATAGGACTCAAAAGGGCTGTTTTAACTGGAGCATGTTATCTTCTGTTGCTATGCATGCTTGCATGCACGCATGCGCGTTTTCTCTCTCAAAGCAGGAAGTGCTACATTCTGAGACTGGGTTCCGAGTATGGGATCGTGTTGATTTCTTTTTTTTCCTCCTTTCACATAGCAAAGGGAAAAGAAAAAACAGATTCTCTCTGCATTCCACTCCGGGAGCCTCCAAGCACACAGCTGGGTTGGGAGCTCGCAAAGAAAATGGAGCATGAAATGGAGGCCGTGGCGGAAGGAGGGACGGTAATGTGCGGTGATCCGGACTCTGACACCAGAACCGCCGGAGCGCAGGTAAGAGGCAGGCCTCTTATGAGCTGGAAGAAGAGGGATGAACGGAAACAGTCGGCAAGTGCCCGCAGAAACAGTGCCCTTGGCAATAATTCTGCCCGTTAGCAAACTCAAGAGGGTGAGTTTGCTAATGGACAGAATTAGCAAATTCTGGCAACAGGACGGGCGTTAAAATGGGGTCAGTAAGAAAGGCAAGGGATGTAAAAGCATGCAGAAATACTATTTTAAACATACATGCCTTGCAGAGGGAACCCACTCCATCTAAGCTGACCAAGAAGGCCTGCCTCCTCCAGGAACCACATTATGCTGAGTGTCACTGGGAAAAGAAAGCCACAGGGAATAGGGAGTCTTCCTTAAGCCCCTAAAACAAGCTTTCTGCACCTTGGAGGAGGGCATGGCTGACGGAAGACCTTTGCGGGTGTCTCTCTGTTACGTGGAGGCAAAGACGGTAGAGTGGAGGGTTTAATTGCAAGTCCCATGTGTTGTGTGTCCTTTGCTGAGAAATGTTACTTCCTAACCTTAGTTATTATGCCCTTACCTTTGTCACCTGCTGTTTTCCTCTCATGAGATCAGATTGTCGTATGTGTGGCTTTCTTCCTTCACCACTCTTATCGCCACATGTGAGGTAGGCAAGCGTGCACACACAGAGAGAGATTGAATGCTTGACGGGCCCACGGTCACCCAGGGTGTTTCATGGCCGAGTGGAGATTTGAACGCAGATCTCCTGGTCCAATGGTTTGCCTGCTAGGCCACATTAGCTTTCAAAATCCATCTTTTCCAGCCCACGTCTATAGGATGGGCTCCTCATGAAGATTGGGATAAGGGACGTAAAAATTGTCAAGGGGAACCTTTACCTTTTAACCTTAGTTATCATGCATTTAATTTAACTTTGTCACCTGCTGTTTTCCTCTCATGAGATCAGATTGTCGTATGTGTGGCTTTCTTCCTTTACCACTCTATCACCACATGTGGGGTAGGCAAGCGTGCACACACACACACACACACACAGAGATTGAATGCTTGACGGGCCCATGGTCACCCAGGGCGTTTCATGGCCGAGTGGAGTTTTGAACCCAGATCTCCTGGTCCAATGGTCTGCCTGCTAGGCCACATTAGCTTTCAAAATCCATCTTTCCCAGCCCACGTCTATAGGATGGGCTCCTCATGAAGATTGGGATAAGGGACGTTGCCACACAAGGTGTTATGCTAGGCATTATAGAGTGATGGGAATAAGCAGCTGTTCCTTCAGGCAGCAGTTACATATTTCTGATAAGGTCTAGTTTGGCCCTATGGTGGCTGGATAGCTCAGTGGGCGAAGTATCTGGCTGTGGAGCCGGACGTTTGAGAGTTCAGTTCCCCCACTGGGCATCTCACAAGAGGCAGCCTGTGTGGCTTTGGGAGGGTGCCCTCAGAAGATGTGGTGGTGCTGTGGGCTAAACCGCAGAAGCCTGTGCTGCAGGGTCAGAAGACCAGCAGTCATAAGATCGAATCCACATGACGGAGTGAGCGCCCATTGCTTGTCCCAGCTCCCGCCAACCTAGCGGTTCGAAAGCATGCAAATGCAAGTAGATCAATAGGGACCACCTCAGTGGGAAGGTAACAGCGTTCCGTGTCTAAGTCGCACTGGCCATGTGCCCACGGAAGATTGTCATCGGACAAAACGCTGGCTCTATGGCTTGGAAACGGGGATGAGCACCGCCCCCTAGAGTCGAACACGACTGGACAAAAAATTGTCAAGGGGAACCTTTACCTTTACCTCAGAAGAAACAAGTGGTAAACCACTTTTGAGGACTTCCTACCTTAAAAAAAACCTGGAAAAGGTTGCCATAAATCAGAACTGACTTGATGGCACAAGATGATGATGATGATTAGTTTGGCCAAGTACAGAATAACAGGACACAAAACACAGGTCTTTTTAAGAGTGGCCAACTTCACAAAGATTCTTTCTCTCGTTCCTGTGCTTTTTAAGAACTGTCTGGAGCACAAAAATTTAGCAAGTGAAGTTCTCTCCTCCCGTTTTAACCCTGAGCCAGAGAAAGATTTCCACGCCAAAATTGTAAGAATTGTATACAGCAACTTTCAGTATGAGTGGGTGCAAACAGACGTTGGAAGTCTTTCAGTTGGCCACTTTCTGTCCCCCCCCCTTCCGAAAAGGATCTTCTGGAAAGAAATTCTGCTGGTTTGCTTTGTTGAAGGGCCACGTTATATGTTGCAAACAAACAGCCATCGTTGGGAGCGATCTTGGATGAGGGCGTAGCTCAGGCGCTGAAAGATATGTGGTTGTCACAGCAGGAGTATTTTGCAGCTGCTGTAGTTTGCCGATTAGCTTGCTTTGTTTTGTGATTTGTCCTCAGGAGGTAAAGAGGGGCTTCATTCTGCAAGTATGATTGCTCAGCCCCAAAGATCTGCCTGAATCTCATCTCTGGAAAACGAATAAATTTCGGTTTCTAAGGATGGACTTTTTCCTCATGTGTAAATTGGAGAAGGTTTCACTAGGACTGAACCTCTGCTAGAGAGATTTGGAATATCTGGCCTTCCATATGTTGCTGGGCTGTAACTTCCATCATTCTAAGCCAACATAACTCTTGTGGATGAGGGATGATGGGAGTTATAGTACAATGGCAGTTGGAAAGTGATCACAGATCCCTCGCCTCCCGGTTGAATTGCTGAATCGCTCCTGCTGCTTGGGGTTTACGCTGCTGTTTAGACGTTCTGGGACTGCAAAGACGGATCTGGGGGTTCTCTGTCCTGTGATGGTCCTTACCTGTCCTCCTTCTCCTATGGCGCAGGATTGGGACCTTGCTTGCTGCATGAGAACTTTCTATACCTACCCGTATCCAAATCCCCTGGTATGACCACACAGGGGTAGAAAAGCTGTTGTGGAAAATTCTGGGTTGTAGCCGATAGTGAGGGTCAAACTTCAGCAGCCACAATCAACCAAGGTGTCAGGCGTGCATGATGGTGTGGTTGATCGTGCAACCCAGCAGCACTCTTGTGGCAGGTTCTGCTGTTGGAACTCCATGCGCCTAAATATAGAACAGGATGCTGTCTGGTACGTTCATTGTGGCTTTTTTTAAAACAAAGATTCTTCCCCAAAGGGGTGAAAGACCTCTGTAGGTCACAATGCATGATTTTCTTCACCTCTGTATCTTGCGCTTAGTATGATGTGTTTTGATAACGATCCCTGGAAAGTAAAGACTGGCTTAATGGGCTGAGGCACTGTGTCTCTGAGAGAATCCTGTTGTGGGAGGGAAAATAGGTCATCAGGTTAATTGTTGGGAATAAACATTTAGATCATCTTAGACCTGCTGAGTTGGAAGGGACCCTGTGGATCCATCAAGTGCAGATCCTGTCAAGGAGGTGCAGTGGGGAACCTCCAACTTCTTGCTCCGTAACCAGAGACCTAAATTACTGAGTTTGCCAGCAGTTCAATATTCTAATAATATCACGCTTAGGGTGCAGAACTGAAATGGGAAACATATGGTTTGTCTTGGTCACCGGACCAGAACAGATGCCAACTGTTCATAGCCAGGTGATAAAAACGGCAGCCCAACCTCTGGCGATCAGCGCTCTCTCTCCCTGTTCTACAACACACCATGCCATGCTAGACAGAGTCTGATTCGGTGTAAGACAGCTTTCTATGTTCCTCCTGATTTTTGCAGAACAATTAGTTAAAACAAAGGAGCTGGGAAGTGCAGGGAATTTTC